TATATACTTACCTTTATCAGTATGTTGTGTATTTTCATGTTGCTAATTAGCGTCCTTTCATTTTAGCTTGAAGAACTCCTTTCAGCATTTCTTTCAAGACAGGTCTAGTGGTGATAAACTCCCTCAGATAAACTCCCTCAGCTTTGTTTGTCTGGGAAAGTCTTTACCTCTCCTTCATCTCGGAAGGACAACTTTGCCATATAGAGTATTCTCACTTGGCAGTTTCATCCTTTCAGCACTTTGAAAATAACATCCCCCTCTCTCCTGACCTGTTAGGTTTCTACTGAGAAATCCTCTGATAGTCTTATGAGGGTTCCTTTATGAGTTACAAGTTTCTTTTTTCTTGCCCCTTATAAGATTTTCTCTTTGTCTTTGTCTTTTGACAATTTTACTACAATACGTCCTAGAGAAGATCTCTTTAAATTGTTTGGTGACCATATGAGCTTCATGAACTTGGATAGCCAAATCTCTTCCCAGATTTGGGAAGTTCTCAGCCATTATTTCTCTAAGTAAGTTTTCTGCTTCCCGCCCCCCTTTTCATTCTGAGATTCCAATAATTTGCAGATTGTTTCTTTTGATATTATCCCACGGATCACGTAGGCTTTCTTCACTCTTTTTCATTAGTTTTTCTTTGTTCTCCCTGACTGGATAATTTCAAAGGTCCTGTCTTCTAATTCCAGATTCCTTCTTCTGCTTGATCCATTCTGATGTTGATGCTCTCTATTGCACTTTTCGTTCACTCATTGTACTCTTCAGCTCCAGAATTTTGATTTGGTTCTTTTATATGATTTCTCTTTGTTAACGTTCTCATTTTATTTGTGTATCATTTTCCTGATTTTGTTCAATTGTCTTTCTATGTTTTCTTGCAGCTCATTGAGCTTCCTTAAAACAACTATTTTGGGGCTTCCCTGGTGGCGCAGTGGTTGAGGGTCTGCCTGCCGATGCAGGGGACGCGGGTTCGTGTCCCGGTCTGGGAAGATCCCACATGCCGCGGAGCGTCTGGGCTGGTGAGCCATGGCCGCTGAGCCTGCGTGTCCGGAGCCTGTGCTCCGCAACGGGAGAGGCCACAACAGTGAGAGGCCCACATACCGCAAAACAAACAAACAAACAAACAAAAACCCCAACTCTTTTGACTTTTTATCAGGAAAACTATAGATCTTCATGTCTTTGGTATTGGTTACCAGAAGATTATTGTGATCCTTTGGTAGTGTGATAGTTCCTTGATTTTTCATGTTCCTTGAAGTCTTGTGATGCTGTCTTCACATTTGAAGTAGCAGTTACCTCCTTCAGTCTTTACTCATTGACTTTGGGAGAGAAATACCTTCTGTCAGCCCTGCTAGGGATTCTGAGGTTTCTGGATATGCCTACTCTACATTCCTTGTTGCCTCTTGTGACAGAATTCTTAAGCTTATATGCCTTCTCTCCATCCTGCAATGCACCAGGCCAGAGGCTGACAGACTCCCTTTTGCTTTTCCAAGGATAGAGCTAAAGCTTGAGTTTGTGGTCTCTCCCTGGCCAGCAGATTTAGGCAAGCTTTCTACACATGTTCACTACTGTCTGCCAGAGCTTGCTCTCACCACCATCAGGAGTGCGTTCAGGGAGATAAGCCACAGGGAGGTATGTAGATGAGGCACATGGAGCATCGGCAGTGCCTGTGGGCCATTTGGAAGGATTCAAAGGTAAAGTGTCCCCAGCAGCTCATGACAGTTAGTAGGACCCATGTCCCTTTAATGTCCTCTGAGGGTCCTATGTGCTCTCACCCAGCCTCTTCCCACCCCCAAGTCATGTAGCTCACAACTCAGTACTCTGGATGGAGCAAGAGAGAAATGACCTCTTTGACAGGATCTCACACTGCTGGAGAAGCTGGGTGCTCACTCACACACTCTCACTTTACCCTGAAGGAGAAATCACTGACCAAGAAAATGATTTCTTAGCATTGAGCTGTGCCAGTTTGGGGGACAGGTAATGCAGGTAAAGTCAAACTGTTCCTCTTACCCTCTCCAATGTGTCCAAATGTGTATTTTTCTGCTCCAACTATGTGCTCGAATTTCTCTTCTGGAAACCTGGATTTCCACAAAGGCTCTCTTATTCATAAGTGATTGTCTAAGACAGTGTTCTCCAGGGAGAGAGGCCCACTCCTTCCTCGTAATCTTTATCATGCCTCCTGGATATGCACAACTGTCATTTTCTCACATTTATGTCAAGTCGAGTGTTGCAAAACAGCTCCAAGCTCTTTCATCCAACCAGTTTGCCTATCCAATATATCTCCAAATTTAAACTACAGAAACTGTGGCACTGTTACTGTTGTCAAATAATTTGAAAAAAAATAACACAAAAAAAGGACAAACAATATACTTGCAGGTCACCAGTCTTCAGCCTCTGATAACAGCCTACTTCTAGTTGTCCAACTTGCAGTAGGTATATTCACTTCCATCCGTTGTTTGATCTAACTTTCCTCCTGTCTTCATCTTACTCATGCTACACTTATTTTCCTGATTCCTTTCTTTTTCAAAGTCTCTGTCTTACAGTGTTATATATTCATGGGTATTGGATTATATTTTGAATTATATTGAAATCTTTTGTACATTTGCATCTCTACAGGCTCCATTTCCCCAAAATGGAATTCATTCCCTATTCTTCATATTTAAACCATTTCATCTTTCAGTGTTCTACTCATGTACTCTCTCTTTTATAAAGACCTCCTTGGCATCCCTTTTCCCATTCATCAATCCATCCATCCATCCATCCATCCATCCACCCAGGTCTCACCCCATTCCGAATTCTGAGAGCTCTGAGTACCCCATTTGTTAGATCACTTGGGACCTCATCAGGCGTACACTTCTTGCTCTTTGTCGTGGGTTGAATGATGGCTCCACAGAAGACATGCCTATGCCCTAACCCCTGGACCCTGTGAATATGAACTTATATGGAAAAAAAGGTCTTTGTTGATATAATTAATTTAAGGACCTTGAGATGAGGTCATCCTGGATTACCTGGTTAGGTCCTAAATCCAAATGACAAGTGTCATATGACACAGAAGAGGGGACACAAGAGGAGGAAATGGAGGCAGAGATTGGAGTGTTGTAGACAAAAGCCAAGTAATACCTGGAGCCATCAGTAGCTGGAAGAAGATGAAGGATTCTCTTCAAGAGCCTTTGGAAGGAGTGCAGCCCTGCTGACACCTTGATTTTGTACTTCTGGCCTCCAGAACTGTGAGAGAATAAACTTCAGTTGTTTTAATTTACCATGTTTTATGGTAATTTGTTATGGTAGCCACAAGAAACTAGAAATTCAAATGGCCAGCTCTTTAAAATCAGAGGCAGTGTGTTTTACCTCTTTGTATGAGGTCTTTCCTCTACCTGGAGAAAAGTAACCAGAACAGAGAAAAGAACACCAAGAACTGAGTTGAATTGACCAGGTTTCAGCATGGCCCATCGCTTATTAGCTGGCTCTCTTTTCTAAATCAGGGACACATGCCATTTCCTCTACAGAGTGACTGTGAAGGTTTCATGTGGAAATGGATAGGGAACTCTCTTCTACTGTGTGTGTGCAGCTCTCCCATATACTCACTGTTGCTCTTTTGTGACTTGTTTCCCTATTGAAGTGTCAGGATAAGGTCTCACCTCTGTGGATAGAGGACAGGGTCCCTCTGAAAAGGATGGTCATTCTGGGGTTAATCACTGGGGAAGAGGCAAGTCCTAGACATGAAATCATAAATTAGAAAGCAGGCTGCAGGCAGCCTCTCTGGAGTTGGGATTTTGCTATAGTGGCCTTCTTTCAGCTTCCCCAAATAGCCATGTTCTTTTTTGTTTTAGGGCTTCTGTATGTGCTATTCCCTCTAGCCAGAACATTCTTCCCCCAGCTAACTCCTATCCTCTGTCTCAGTTCTAAAAAGCAGCCTTCCATTACTACCTAGATTAGGCCAGGACTCCTGACATATTGCCCTTAGCCCACGCCCTTCTCCTCAGAAGCATGCATCACCCTACGTCTTGTTCAACATTCTGCCTCATTTGGTGTCATACCACAGGTTCCATGGGCAAGAATGTGCCCATCTGGGTCTTGTGCTTCTCCTGCAGCAGAGAGCAGAGCACCCTCCCCACCCCCACCCCCAGCTTCAGATAAGGGAAGTGACCCTAAGGTCACATTCTCTGGTTAGAGGTTACTCTCCAGTGGTCCCCGCCCCCAGCCTTCAGTTAAGTCTCACTTATACTTTCTGAGGCTAATTGTGGCCAGACACACCAGTAAGCAGCACCCCTGAGGCTTGCAGTCATCCCTCAGGAGTATCCTAGGGGAGGGTGCATCTATCTCAGGGGCCAGGGCTTTCACAGCTGCCCCACCCTATGGGGAGTCTCCCTCATTGATATTCCTGACATTGACAATTTGGACTTGATTTTATTGAGGGTGCCAACCAGTGAATTTCCTTATAACAGAAAATGTCAAATTCATGTGAGAGATGGCTATAATCCAACAGGGCAACCAACATAGGGCTTGGTAAAATGTGGACTAGATCAGGCAGAAGCAATGGGGGGTATATACCCCTGTGTGCACTTGGGAAGGTTGAGTTACAGGAGATGCTGAATGTAATGGAAACATTGACTTGGAATCTTTAGGCATCTCCTGAAAGGATTAGCCAATGGCATCATAAAAAGAGAAAGAGGTCAACTGAAAAATAGCAGGACGACAGAGGTGCCCATCAGACTCCTTGAAGAACCCAGCAGTCCAGGTGATTGGAATAGGATAGCACATGAGCCTGACCAGAGCCCAGAGAGGGAGAAGGCGGGTTGGGCACAGGATCACCACCAGCATTCAGGTTACCCAAAAGATGGGCCCAAATTGGACTTTTCTGGAAAAGGTTCCACATGTTGCTAAGGCTTCTGGGGTAAAAGTATTCTTCACCTCATCCATTTTGAGATCAGTCCCCCACTAATGCATGCAGGGCCTCAAATATTAACATCTGATTGGACACATATAATGAATTGCAGAGTAGGAGGCAATAAATATTTAGGTCAGAAAATTTGACAGTTATAATATATATTCACTCTTAGTTTACCCATCCTGTTTAACGTGGGGGTTGGGGTAACACTCACCCCGCTCCTGCTCAGTCTCACAGAGCAGCAAAGGAGCCTACAGCTCCTCCCACCCACATGTCTCCAGCTTGAAACCCATCCTCTCCCAAGTCCTGGCTCAGAAACCAGTTTAAAGAGGTCCTCTGTCCCCCCCCCCCCACACACACACCAGTAACAAGGAAGTCCCTCAGGGTTGGGAGGGGTGGGAGAAGCCAGGAGACAGACCAGGCCAGGCCACTTCCCATTATTCAGCAGAAGGGGAATGAGTGGGGGCTAAGCCTCTGGTCTCTGGGGCTCATCTACACCAACTTCTTGGCTTTAAAGAAGCTCTTGAGGTGCTGCATCTGCCAGATGCCAGTGGCCACAAGGATGAAGGTCTGCAGAATGAACCACCACAGCACCCGTTGGTTGGTGCTCTCGCTGGTCTGCCGGAAGCGCTCCTCTCGCCACTGTGGGAGGGGAGAACAGGAAGGTGTGGCTAGAACTGAATTGACCCCCAGGGGAAGAGCTGAAAGAGCCACTCCCTGGGAGGTTACACATCCACTGTCCCAACTGGCCCAGCCCAGCCCCTCACCCTCTGGTACTCCTGCTCCTTCTGGATCTTCTCCACTTGCTCCACCAGCTGCTGTATGCGCAGATGCAGCAGGGTCAGCTTGTCATTGGCTGCAAGTTCCGTATAATCATTGGTGTGTTCACCCAACTGCATGTCCAAGTGAATGGCCTGGGGAGCAGAGGAGCCAAGGGTGGGGGTCAGGGAGCTCAGCTCCACGCACCTGCCAGAAACCCAGCTTCCACACACCAGTCTGGGCCTGACTGAACTGAGCAGTTCAGTTCCTCACACTCATTGATGTGAGGACTAGCTCTGCTCCAGGTGCCAAAACACCAGATCAAGGCCCTGCTTGCATGGAGTTCCATGTCCAAAAGACAGAAGGGACAGAACAAAATGCGTATGACTCAGTGTTTGAGACAAGCAGCTCCTAGGAGTTCCATGTCAGTGGGAGGTGGTAATGAAGAGCCTGGGAGCATTCAGCTGCTGGACAGCTCTGAATTTTATATTATGAAGCTTGGTCTTTATTCTAGGGATGGCAGGGAGCTGAGGGATGATTTTAAGTCAGAGTGACTCCCTCCTGGGTCCCCTCTCATTCTTCAGGACCTGTCCTCTATATGCTTACTTCATGGAAAGCCCAGCCCTCCTCAAGAGGCACCGCCTACTGAACCCTTTTCACCCAAGGGACTGAGATGTTAAGGGTTGGTGACTCCCCTCCATACTCACCAGCTTGCCATCATAGAAGAGGGCGAACCGGATGGACTCGAGGTGAAGGCAGATCTGGTGCTCTCCGGGAGACTGAGAAGTGAAGGTAAAGCTGCCCCGAGGGCCGTACTGACGAGCCAGCAGATTCTAGAGGAAACAGCCTCTGTGAGCACAGAGAAGCTGACCAGAAACCTGCTTCTAGGAGAGGAACTCTGGGGGTATCCCAGGTTCGGATCCCCACAGGCCAGACCAGTAGGGAGGGTGTAAGGAAAATGGCATCAGTTTGGGCTTGAAAATCTCAGATCCCAGCACTGCTAGTACACAATACTCTACAGACTGCAAAGAGCATGGCCTTTCTTGAGCCCTCCTGCCTGTGAGGAGATGAGCCCTCCTCTGAGAAATGGAGGACTAGGGAGGACTAGACAATGACGCTGGAGACGTGGGGGTGGGAGGGCTGCAGGGAGTCAAGGCCTACCTCACCTTGTTCTCGGGGTCCTTCACAAACACGAACAAATTGATCCACTGCGGGGAGGGCTGGTACTTTTCCATAGCAGGGTCGTATAGCTCGGTCTTGTAGTTACCTAATGGGGAGGCAGCCTGAATGTATCCCCATCCACACTCACGACCAAGAGCCCGCCCAGGACCTCCAGGAATCACGGGGGACGGGGGGAGGAACAGGAAGATCCGGGTGTCTGATTGCGGGGCTTGACCACAACCCTCTGCCTCTCTCCTTCCCTCTCCTGCCCGGCTTTTCTGCTGTCATCCGGGTCTGGATCAGAGTTGCCTCCTCGGCGCCCCCCAACTCCGGCACAGGCAACGGAGAGCATGATTTGCCCACACTGCTGTCCACCCATTTCCCACCCGTGCCTACCCCCGGCAGCAGAGGGGAGGTATGGGCCTGAGCTGATCCCGCGGGGCCTCATCCCCATTCCCTCTCAGGACTATGGGTGCGGGGAGGGCAAGGCCGGGACTCTGGGTGCGGGGAGGGCATGGCTCGGGCGCACCTATGACTACTGTGCCATCGGGGATCTCCTGGATGAAGCACTTCTCCTCCAGCTCGCTGACCTCGAGGTAGAACGCGCCTCCGCCTCCTGTGAGCGCCAGCAGCTGCCCCAGCAGCAGCGGCAGGGCCAGTTCGGCTGCCCTCGCTCGGCCCCATCCCCGCCCGGGGCCGGCCCCGGGCCCAGCGCCTTGCGTCCCGCAGGCCCCCGCCACCTTCCCAGCCAAGTCCTAGGGTGTCTTTGCTGGGCCTGCGAGACTGCAAACTCGGGCACAGACTACAAATCCCAGGAGCCCCCGCGCGGACTCGCGTTGCGGAGGGGCCACGCGAGCTCCCACCCCACTAGCGAGGCGCTGCCCAGCGCTTTCCTTGCCCCGCCTCGCTTAATGCGCGCAGAAACCCAAGGAGGCGGGTACTCTTAGCCCCATCTTGCTGATGTGGTAACAGCCTCAGAGAGAAGGAAGGGACTAGCCCTCTGAAACTTGCAGGAGCGGCTGCCTGAGACGGGTGTTGAGAGTGTGGGCAGATCCAGGCATGACCTGGATCTGAACCTCGAGGAGGTTAGAAGTGGTGGTGAGACAGAATGAGAACTGCAGAGAAGCCCTGTGGGGTTCAGAGGCTGACGTAGTAGTTCAGGAAAGGAACGGAGAAATGTCCCTTTTATGGAAGGGGTAAGTTTGACTCAAGCTCTGAAGGATGGTTAAAATCTCCCTGAGCAGTGACGGAGCAAGAACAATTTAGGTAGAGAGACCTAGAATTGCCTAACAGCAGTAGGCCAGTTAAGGGACTAGGGGAAGAAAGTTTATGGGCACATGGAGGGAGGAGGTAAGTTGGGCCGAATCACTGAGGGGGCAGGAGCTGCCAGGCCAACTTGCACAGGTGGGACTCTTCATCCAGTGGGACCAAAAGAAAAGACTGTGAGTGAGCCTGGAGGGTGAAAGAAGTCGGCAGGAATGCAACTGGAAAAGGAAAGGGAATACACAACTGAAAGGTGTGGGAGGGTGGGGCCAACATGACAAGACAGGGACCCAGGAATAGCAAATCTCAGGAATTCCGAAGCTCACGGTGCTCTGAGTAGGGCAGTGTATATACTCAAACGTCAATATAAAGCAGTAGCCCTTCCCAGGTGGTGGGATGAAGTCCTCCACCATCTAGAGCCTGATGATAATAGATGCTCATTGGTTTATTCAGTAATATAAAATGATGATGAAAATAATAATACTTTTTATTCTTCTGTGCCAGCCACCGTTCTAAGCACTTTTAAATGTATTAACTAAATTAATATTTTAAAAACTCTATAAGGTAGACTCTAATAGGATTCCAGTTTAACAGTTGGGGAAGCAGTGGCAAAGAGAGGTTGAGTAATAACTTGCCCAAGGTCATCCAGTGATAAGCGGCAGGCATTTGCTCACACAAACTCTGGGCATGACTTTACGATACATGTTGGACATGAATATGAGTAAAACCTGCCTCCTGTCCTCTAAGAGCCCACTGAAGAGCAAAGGAGCAATGTCAATACAGTGTTTTAAGATTAATAATATGTTTTAGCTACCAGAAATTGTCCCCTCACTTTATCAGTGTGGCCCATTGATAATTCTAGGGGAACGTTTTTATTCCTTCACTGGGAATGGTCTTTAAACGAAAATGGCAGATGCAGGTGTTAACAAAGGCAGACACTTTAGAAAGGTCAATTAAGACAACAGCTGAAAAGCATCTGTTGGATTTGGGAACTAGCTGTTCATCAAGGGCATTCACCAGGAGCTGGGAGCAGGGGTGATGACTCAGGGTTTGGGAGGCAGGATGAGGTGCTGTCCACGGTCCTGAATCGTGATTGCCTGTACCACCGCCTGCAATAAGGGACTGGTTTTGTTGTTGTTGTTGTTTTGCGGTACGCGGGCCTCTCACTGTTGTGGCTTCTCCCATTGTGGAGCACAGGCTCCGGACGCACAGGCTCAGCGGCCATGGCTCACGGGCCCAGCCGCTCCGCGGCATGTGGGATCTTCCTGGACCGGGGCACGAACCCGCGTCCCCTGCATCGGCAGGCAGACTCTCAACCACTGCGCCACCAGGGAAGCCCTTGTTGTTGTTTTATATATAAATTTTCCAATCCCTCATGAACCAATACTTTTGTAAAAAAGAATAAAATATGAAACTGATTATGGGCTTGAATGTCACATCAATGTTAAATTTCTATAAAAGTTTCTAAGTGCTCAATTTCTGTGCTTATCTCATTGCAGACCTATAACAAACACTCATGGACCAGCACTGGCCCACAGTGAGTAGCACTGTTTCATAGCCAGTGATCAGACTGCCCACAGAAATCCCCTAAAGGGACAAAAGTGGAAAATTATTAGGGCCTGCAGTGACATGCATGTAAGGAGATAGTGCAGCAGTGACTTTACAGCAAAATTTCAAAGCCAAGAACCCAGATGTTGGGAAGGATGAGATGGTTCCCAAGTAGAAAAAGTACTGTGTTGATGATAAAATCTGATTCTGAGTGATGACAGGGCTGAGAATATAAGAGCAGAGAGCCCACCATTCTGGGATTCTCCCACTTGACAGTGATCTCATTCCACACTGTCTGCCAAGACCACTGAACCTGGGTGCCATTTGTGAGATTTAAAGAAGACATTGGGGAACTGCATCTACTTGCCCTATCTGAGGTTCCCCTAAGATCGAAGACTCTGTCAGGCCTCTACTACATGCTGTTCCCTTTCTAAGGGATGTCCTGAGCCCCCATTGCTGCCCTCTTTTCCACTTGCCTAATTCCTATTCACCCTTTCAAGACTCAAGTGCAGCATCCCTCTTTTAGGTGTTTCCTGCCCTGGGCTCCTTGGGACCTTGCGTTAACCATGTTGAATTATAATTGTCCATTCACATGCAAGTCTCTTGGGGCTGATAGCTGGAAGAGATTAAGACAGGTTTCTGCCACATGTATTTATCTCTGTGCTCCCCAAAGCCTAGCGAAAATCTAGGAACAGTATGATTGTGCAGTGGATGTTTGGTTAGAGAGAGGAAGGAGAAAAAGTAGAGGGGAGTATGGAGGGAAAGGGGGGATAGAGAGAGGAAAAAGAAAGAAGTTGGAAGAAAAAAGAGAGAGAAAGAAGAAAGCAAGGATGAAGGAGGTTGGAGAGAAAGAAGGAAGAAGAGTAATGGTGAGTCATAAGCCAAAATCTCCATACCTTGTGCCTGGCCTTTCTTATGATGTCCCCTCCTCATTATTCCCATTAGGCATCTCGAACTAGGGATGGTGGGGGTGGAGATACCTCATGGTTAGAATGTTCTTGCACATAAAATCAGAGCTTCCATGCGCAATTCTGCTCTGGTGCTGGGCGGATTCTGTTGGTGTGCTGGTGACCTCCACATCATCCCCAGGACACCACCATGCCAGTGTTCCTTCCTCTGGTCCACTGGTCTCTGCATTCTTCTTCCTCCCTGGCATGTAGAAAAATATTCCTTGTGACCATCTCCACAAAGGAATTTCCTATGAAAGTTCTTTTCCCTGTGCTTTCTTTCCCAGGACACCTAGGCACTGAAGGGTGTGTATGTGCTGAATCCAGGGATATCAAGAACAGTATCACGCTGGACCTGGAACCAACCACTGTTCCTGCTTCATGCACCACCCCCACCACCCACCCCCACACAGGCTCACACTTATCCCTCTGACAGAATTCTTCCACTCCTGGTGAGTTTTCTCAGAGTTTTCTCACTGTCTCTCTTTCCAGTCCATCCCTCTTCAGGGCTTCAGGCAGTCCATCCCACAGGTCTGTGCCTGGCTTGGTCCTCCAACCCTCCTTCACTGCAGGGGTTCCCATAAGGAGGGCAAATCAAAGGGAATGGCTGGGCTGTTCCTCAGTCCCTGAGAATCAGGAAGCCATTGATCCCAGGACTCAGAGGACCTCTAGGGGTAATGTGGCCAAATGCAACATACCAGTGCACTTAAGACTCAGCTCTACCCCAGCCAAAATACCGTTATACTTTCCCACAGTAAAATGTTTGCAGCACCCTCAAAGGTCTCCACTGTCTTCCAAACATCTTTTCTGGATGAGTAAAGAAGTGCACAGACTTGGTTGAGGCACCAGGACTCCTCTCTGGGCTCAGTTTTCACCAAAGGTGAATCCTCTCCCCTCATGCCTGAGGTTGTATAGATGAACCTGGACAAGGGATGCAGCTTTCTCAGACATCTTCTATTTATCATCACCCTTTCTATCAAGTTCCCGAACTGGTAACCACTTCTGCCCTTGAATGAAGACTTTCTCTCCAGTCTTCCATGCAAATGGGAAACCTCATTCTTTTGGTTCAAAGATCATTCATTGTATAGAATGAGATAGAACCCAGGGAAGAAGGAGGGTAGGGGACATGATGGGGAGACCAAGGTGGAGGGAAGAGAGAAGAGGAAGATGGCAAATCCAGACTGTGACACTTCCTTACTTCCCCTTTCTTCCCCTTTCCTCTCCACTATTTCCTCCCTTCTTTTCCATAGCGCCTCCCTCCTCCCTTTTTTCTCTCTGATTTTAAAAGGTAACTTTTACTGTTATTCAGGCATGGTGAGGCCAACAGATCAGGAGATGATTACTATTGAATAGGTAGTTTGGGGACTTCCCTGGTGGTCCAGTGGTTAATACTCTGCACTTCCACCGCAGGGGGTGCAAGTTTGATCCCTGGTTGGGGAACTAAGATCCCACATGCCGCAGGGCATGGCCAAAAATGAAAGAAAGAAAAGATAGTTTTTTACTCACAGTTCCCAAGCAGACTGGGTACACCAAGTCATGCAGGGCCACATGGGGAAACACCAGTGTTGGTCAGGAGGCAGAGGAGTGAGGGGAAAGCATGGATAAAAGCCTTTATTATGGTGTTCATGGGAAGGAGTGGGTGATTGGTTAGTTTGAATAATTTCAGCAGGCTCTGTGGTGTTGGGGCTGTCATGGGTTATCTGGTACCTGACCCTGAGGTGGTTAGGGCAGGAGGAATACTGGCTTGTTGCATGAGAGTTCAATAAAGATGGTGGTTGGGGGCAGGGGGGTATGGGCTTTGGATTGGTTGGTTTACATATGAAAGGTACCCTCTCAGGTGAGTCCTTTGCTATCTCTAAGAACTAACCCTGGGAGGGGTAGTGAGGCCCCAGATGCCGGAGCATCAGGAACACAGAATATAAGAAAATATAGTTAATACACTCCTCAACCAGAGTCTGCACCACTGGGTCTCCAAAAGATCATGGCAGCATTCTCATCCCACCTACACTGAGGGTTTTACAAGTCAGGAGAT